TGAAATGGAATTTTTTTTATGGAGCAGCAGAACGTTTTTGTGGTGAAAAAAATTAAATTTTTACACTGAATAATGATGTTTATAGAAAAAAGCACAGACAAAGTTATGAAGTGTTTTGGTAATTATTTGAACAACAGAAGTACATAGTATTTAATAAAACAAGCAAACAAATTATTCCACTTGTTTTAATGTTGGTATCATAATCTTTCACAAAAATAGTAGCTATGAAGTTCAAGGAATTAAACATTATATTGGATAGCCTTACAATATACAAAACTGTCAAATATCCAATTTCTTTATTTACATTCTACTTAATCTCCTGTAACAATGATATTCGTAATGAGGCAAATTATCATTTAATATATCACGGATATGGTGATGATAAAATTCCATAGAAGGTCTGCATGTAACAATGCCTATTCCACATTACCTGATGTAAATTATTGCAATCATTGATGACTTGTCTTGGTAGTTCTTCAAAAATATACAAGAGACAGCGAATCAGAACCAGCTGCTGAATGTGTTGCTTGGCTTGATGAATAATGGTAAGGTGAAGGGCACTTCAAAAAAAAAAATCAAGAAAGATAAACTTCTTATAACTTTTCAGATAAAATAAGAGGGAGATTAGCATTTTCATCTCACATAAACAAGCAAGGTTTAATCTATACCTCAGAATTCTAAGGACAGTCAATAAATGGAAACAATGATATAACAGAACTTTATAAACACACACACACATAATGTAAAAATATTGTACAAACATTTATGAAATAAACCGATAGCAAAATAATATTGGTAGACATTCATCAACAAATTTGTATATACTTTTTTAACTTTTCAGATAGTTTTGTAACTAACCGTTTAGGAACCAGTAACTGTCAAGTGCATTTCATACAACTTCTTAAGCTTATCTTTATGTCACTTAAAATTAACAAAAATACACATACTTGTCTCCATCTTCATCCTGTATGGCAATTAAATGCTGAAGAGTCATCAGTAGTAGTCCAAGATCTCCAGTAACTACAAAATTTCTTAAGGCTGAGCTCATCCTCAATGCAAGTTGCTTCACCCCATGCAATGTAGTAGGCAGGGCATCTGATTGTGTTTTATTCTCCCTGCAATTTCCCATAGTTTTAGATCTATTTTCTTCAGGGTCACTGGTTTCCAAGATTTTTGCTTTTGATTCTGGGGATAGGCTGATAAAGTCTCTAGGGTTACTTAAGCTCCTGCTCCTCTCTAGATCTTTGGTTTTAAAAATGATATGTTCAGTGTTCAAGTCTTGTTCAGAGAAACTTAGATGTTGAACTTCTACTTGCCCTTCAGACTGAATATATTTTGGTTTTAATTCATACCCTTTGGTTCTGACAAACTTAGATGCAAGCTGTGAATCTCCAATTTGTACAGTTTGAGGTTCAATACCCAAGCTTTCTTCAGTGTATTCTTCAGCACAAATATCCAAATCCCTATTAGCTAATACCACCCTTCTTTGAATATTAAATGGTTCTAACTTTTGCTCAGAAGTAAAAGAACCAGAATTACCATTTTTTACTTTATCCTCTTTTTTAAGTGATGGTATGCTATTCCCCACATTCTGCTTATAACCCTTATCATCTAGAGATAGAGTCTTAATGGCATGTTCAAGATTTACTTTAATTGTTGGATGTTTGGGATTGACATCAGTAGAGTCAGTTTTGAAATATTCCAAAAGAGGATTTGGTTCATCTGTTCAAAGGAACAATAAAGAATAAATATTCATTAGTAATAAGCAGATATCTGAAATACACAAAGCACTACACATAACTATTTACTAATAGGAACATTTACATTAGATTTACCTCTTAAATCTGAAAAAATATACAAATGCAATAATTTAATGTTAAAAAATTATTTAATATCATGGAAAAAAATTCTAAATCCCTTACATATTCCCTCTGAGAAAATTGCTGAATTCAGCTGGAATGTTCCCAAACAAAATCAATGAGGATTACTCTTTCAAAATTCAATTAATCTATTTTTGTATCTAATCACAAAGAAACAGAAATAAAAGAGCAAACAAGTACTTACTTTCTTCATTACTCAGCATTGGATTACTGGATGGATGCAAAAGATATAAACATTTATAATCATCATCATCATTCAACACATTTATTTGTTCCAGTGAACCAGGAGCAGAATAATGAGTTTCAAAATGTGTACTTGATATAGCATGTTGTTCAGGAACATCTAAATTGGGACTCTGTCCTGAAACTGTACATTAATAGACAAATTATCATGCTATAATCTTTACTAAAGTACATAAACATACATACACACACACACACACATATATATATACCATACTCTAAATTTAAATCCAGCAACTTCTAACAGCTATTACAGTAATATAACATACAATGAAAGTCACATTGAAATAACAGACAATGAACAGGTTTTACTAGATGTTGAAATTTATTCCCTGGAAATGTTTGGCTACTGTAATGTAGTTGTTGTCAGACTGAACTGAATACAAACTTAAAATAAATTTAATATTGTAATTCAGCTTATAGGCTGGAGAGTTGCAAGTTTTAATTGTTTAAAAAAAAAAACATTTTCACTTTAACATGGATCATGGTACTAAATGTACTATTCATTTAACCTGATGATGGATGGCTACAGTACAGTAGCCAAAAGTTTCCAGTGAATAAATTTCATCATTGAGTAAAACCAGTTCATTTTCAATTTATTGAATGTTTCTCACCCACATTATGAGCCTTAAAGAAAGAGACCCTCTATATGTAGATAGTTAAATGTGCCTATGCACATTTTGTCAAATTATTATTAAATGGAGGACATACAACATTTATCACACACTCACAAATACCACATATAAATATCTCACAACTCTTAACATAATATAATGTTTTATATTTCTTTGATTAGTAGAAAAAATTAAACATTTCTTGCAGAGGTTAACATCTGAAAGTTAACATTTTCCAAAACTGAAAATGTATTTCAAAAAGATACTTACCTCTTCTCACAAAATACTTTTCTTGACTTATACTGTTTTTTATTGGTGCAAATTTTCACTTGATACTTCCACCTACCCTCATGTATGTTAACATGAGATATCTGCATACAAACATGCAAATGATTATTCAGTAATTCTCCACCAATAGGAGTGCAACACTACTTCAAGATCAGTCAGATCAAACTAAACCACACCAGAAGTGGGGAAGATGGGTGGGAAATGTGAGAAGAGATAAGTATCTATTGGAAATACATTTTCAGTTTAGAAAAATGTTAATCTCCAATATGATATTTTACCACTTCTCACAAAAAGCTAGAATCCCATATTGAACAGGTGGAGGACCAGTGAGAGGATGATTCTCCTTTAGGAAGCACCCAAAGGAAAATCATAGGGTGTGAGAATGAACTAAAAACAACACACCTGTGGGAGACTGCACCACTTCTGAGCCAGATATACTTTTCGGATGTTAGTCATGTGTCCCCAGAAGGGAGGAAACGAAGGAGAGATCCGATGAAAAGTTAGAGAAAATAAAGAGACCCCTTGATGTAGAGTGGCTAGGGCATGATAGACCATAATTTGGTGTTCGATCTCAATCAATACCTGGTGGCATGTGGAATTGTACATCAGGTCCATAGTAGAAAGATGGTCCTCAAAAATGGGTACCAGCAGGGAAGAGGAGCTTCTGTACCAAGAACCTGCCTCTGCATGAATGCACCTCCAACACAACCAACACCAGACCCACTGGAGACTGACATCTGGTGGACGATAGAAAGGTGGAGAGTCCAGGTGGGTGTTCATCTCCCGTCCAAATCTTGGCATCATTGGGAATTTTTCATCCAGTTTGCGGTAGGAGGGAGGTACCCAGCCTTGCATATGCAAGGAACCAACATCCAGCAGATCTCCGGGTTGCATCTCCAGTCCAAAACCTAGCAGCATTTGGAATTTATCATCCAGCCTGCGGTAGGAGGAGGGTAACCATTCAAACATGTGAGAATTTATGTGGCTGGTCTAGCTTAAACCATCACCAGATCCACTGGGAACTAGCATCCAGTAGGAAAAAAAGGTGCCTTAGCCAGAGGGGCAAACTGCAATATATAGTAGAGTACTACATCCAACATCTGGTGGTATCTGAAATTGTACATCAAGTCCGCAGTGTGAAGGACATTACGCCGTCTATACTGGCAGAATACCACCACCCTACTCTCAACTGAGTGGTATTGTGCACACTCAGGAGCACAAGTTTCCATGGTTCACTACCCCAGCAGCTAGGAACTGGTAAGTGGAAAGGACTCCCATACTCCACTAAAAGAAGAATGGAGAAAGTGCATTGGAGAGTACAGAGAACCACAGCACTAAAACAATGAGTGACCCGATATCCTATTTTGGAAAGCAGGGGATCAATTTGACAGAGTCAATAAACCAACTCCTGGAATTGTAAATCAGGTCTGCAACAGGAAGAGCCTCAAATGCAACCGATCATCAGAGATGGGCAGTAATCCCCGCTTGCTTTACTCTGTTAGTCCACGAGTGTACTGCAAGGTATACCTACTAGCAGCCTTGCAGAACACCTCATTTCAACGATGGGTGTAATAAGGCCTGGTTATGTTATATTACATTGTATTTTGAAAAGCAGAGAGAGCTCATTGATGAAGTCAAACAACCAACACCTGCTGCCATCTAGATTTGAACATCAGATCTGTGGTGGGAAGAACCTAAATACCATGGATTATCCGAGATTTATTATGAACACAGGTCTTACAGTGTGGATTTCAGATTATGCATACCTGGTCAGGCAACAGTCACCAAGAAACAAAGGTGTAAAGGTATGCGGAGTGGTCCACATACCTGGACTGATGATGTCCCACAAGAGAAGACAGAAATGCACAGCCAGGGACATGGTTAGTGACTGATCTGATGGGAAGAAACATGGAAAAGACAACAATCATCAGAAGAAAAGGGAAGAGTACACCAGGTGAATCAACCCTTAAGGGTAATGGAAGAAAAATCATGGGAGTGGATAAGAAGCTAAGGAATAAACAAACAGAAACCATGGAAATGATGCAGTGCATGTCAGAGAGCCCTGACCTTGCAAAAGAGGTGGTCAGGATCGGAACTGTTGTAAAGGTGGGATTTGGAAGGAAAATGCAGAAGAAATAAAGCAACATGGACAAGATTGGTGCCCAGAAAACTCAAGCCTATTTAGAAACTGGAAATGTGGCTGATAAAGCCACCCTACAGCCAGCAACAGAGGAAACCAAATGGTCTTTGTCAAAAAGCCAAGACAAAAGTTGACATAAAATGAGGAATATTAGGATGGGAAGGATGATAACTGAATCAGACTGACCAACAGCAGTATGTGTACTACTAATATTGGTGAACCACAACAAAGGAAGAACGAGAAGTTGAGGAAGCCACACAATGCAAATGTCTGGCTCTTCTGGTGAGAGATTGGACAAAAGCCATGCATGAAGACAGAGTGTGGAAATGGATGGATGATGCATGCCTGATTGGGGCTGATGTAGGAGCCAGTATTGGAGAGAAAGGAAGAGGGATGATACCAAAAGCAAGAACACCAATGGAAACTATATTTGAGTCAGCCAATACAAAGCCACCAACATGACACAGAGTGGTTTGAATTATGGCAAGGAAACATGAGGGGAGACAAATAGGAGGATATACATATAGACTGAGAGCTCCTGCTGCCCCAGTTAAAGGATGAGGAACAGGAGACCAAAATCGAAGAAGCTATGAATTGAAATGAGTGGAAAGTGTGTCCAAATCTAGTACACCCCACTAAGTATACAATTCCTGAAAAACTTTAGGATCCAATAACCACTCCATAGGTAGAATCTTGTTGATACTGGATTATTGATCCATGACAAGAGTCAGGACACCCAGAAGAAGATGTGTCAACAAAGTGATGTGATGGCTGTGGGCCCAATATAGGAGATCCAACATTTGAAAACAATCTCTCTCAATTGAGTGCCCCTTAGCCTGGAGATGTATGAGACTACAGTAGAATTTTCAGTGTGTACCATCACCAACCAGCCCTGAGGAGCCCACAGGAAGTGAAGGAAAGCTCGACGAACCACAAGGAGATCCAAAATTGATGTGGAGAGTGGATATGGAAAGAGTCAATCTCCCTGAAACCTCCTGAGTGTCAAGATATGCCCCCAACTTGGAAAAAGAAGCATGTGAAAAAGGTAACATTCTGGACAAGGAGTGGGAAGAGGTACACCGATGGTAATGTTGTTCCGATCCAACAACGAGGTGAAGTCGGTCTGGAAGGAAAAGGGAAGGGTGAGAGGGACATCCAAGAGATCCTGAACAAGGCTCCATTGGTCTAACAAAACACACTGAAAATGACAACTGTGGGTGGGTGCAACCAAGAGGAAAGAGGGCTTCTAGAGAAGCCCATATCCCCAAAAGAGAGAAAGAACCTCTCTAGCAGTTGGAGAAGGAGAGGAGGAGATGCTGCATATGAGACAGTTCGTAGCCCTCAACCAAAGGGGAGTAGGTTGTGCCCAATTAATCATGAAGTTAAAAAACACCTCGAGATGAGCAAAAGTTTTTCATGGGTGTAAGGAAAGACTTCACCATCTTGACAAGCCAACCCAAACTATCATCTTCCTGGAGAAGAAACTGAGTAAGTATGGCAGATTCTTCCTATGTGTAGGCCAGTCATCCTAAAATGATGGAAACAAAAGCCCCTGGCATGAATCAGGTGAGCAAACTCACAGACTACCTGACAGAACCTATGGGGCACAGTGGCAAACACACACTCTTGATGAGCAAAGCAAAGATACGCAAGTCAATCAAACTGTAAGGGAAAAACACATCTATATAAAAAGTCTGACACTCAAGAAGTGGTTAACAGTTGCAAGATTAGAAAGGTGCTAGTTACAACAGGGGTAGTGTCACACTCTTATTAGTGGAGGGTAGCCGCATAATCATTTACATGTCAGTATGCAGATATCTCATGTTAACATACACAAGGATAAGTGAGATTATCAAGGCTAGTGGCAAGCAAAAATTAGCACTGATAGAGGGCATTATAAGTTGAGGAAAGTTTTTTGTGAGAGGAGGCAAATATTGTATTGAAAATTGTCATATACCCACAAAAAATTTAAATCATTCCAAAAACAGCATATTTTTGATCAGTTAGAGTACTTATCATTGTTACTGAAGCTAAGAACAATATAAGCTATAAAATATAATGCTTTAATCAGTCCTTCACATTTGAAAAATGCACAAGGGATTTAAACATCCCCCGACAAACAGTCTACAGAGGCTGTTAGCAGGATGATGTTGTATCTCAATTCTTTGTTTACAAAATTAGACAACAAAAGTTAATTTGTATTGATTGAACTGTCCCATTTTTCTTTCAACGAAACAGAATTTTGCTAGCTAAACTGGGACATGTTTATAGCATATCACTGAATTATGATGACCTGCAATCAATATGGCAGCTATTGCAGCCTGTGTCATGCAGAAATTAGTTCATCAAATGCAATAAATTGCATTTTATTAAATGATTAAATTTTCTAAAACTCTTTCTTGCTAGCCTGAACTTGTTAATAATTAATACCCAGTTTTGTTATCTAAACTTTAAAATATTGACTCAGTTTCTCAGTTACAAATATCTGATGTCCAAATACAACAATATAGTTCGAAAATATCATATTATTGTGCATATAACATAGCTACTCTAGGCCAATTAAAATATTAAAGTATTAGAGTCATAGCAGCCAACAGGGTCACACAAAGTTATCTGTGAGCTTGTCTGTGTATAAAAACAACAGCTGATTGTATAGCCAAAACCATGACAAACAGTAGCAGGATCTGAATTCAAAAGTATTAATTTTTGGTAAAAATAAAAGGACCAGTATTGAGCCCTCATACAACTTATTTTACAGGCATTTTCAAGCATCAAGGTATGGTGCTGGACAAGAAAATGAAACCTGTAATGGAATAATTAAGAGGAATGTAGAAAAAATATCTTTAGCCAAGTATGAATTTTACCATGAATTATAAGCTAGAAAATAAAAACAAGACTTTTCAGTTTCCATAGATACAATATAATAAGAACTTGGATGAACTTGCTGTTTTAATCCAGTATGTCTAATAAGTACTAAAAGATGTTTTAACACCAGTTTCAAATTTCTGTTTACTTTCAGCTCTGATGAGACTTGCTTCAAATTTTAAACTTTTAAATACTTATACCAGCTTTTCAAAAAAGAGATATTACACTTATATTTTTCTATTGTTATGTAAAACATTAATGCTCAAAGCATGTAATTTGTACTGTACTTATGCTCATCTATAAAGCCAACACTGGTAAGAGAAACATGTTAGCCTAGTCTTTTTTTTCTTTTTTTAAAAGAAGAATCACCAAAAAATCCTGTTTGATAATCTGTGTCAACCCAAGTGGACCCACTACTGCCAGCACCAGACTGCAATGATGGATCTAGGTCATGATGTACTTGAAGTTCTTGATGGGTGGTAATCTTTCTCCTCTTTCTCTCAATTTCTTCCCTATCTGAATTAAATTAAAATGAACAACTATCATATAATAAACTGAAAATTATATAAGCTTGTTCGATATGATCAACAAAATCTTTTCCTGTTTCCTCTTGAAGCTTTTAGGTGAGAATGTACAATTAAATGAGTTGGTAGATTCTGTTTCTTAATACTAAGCAAGCTATTAACTTTATCCCAGTTGGAATTCTTTTACTTAATATTTGATACAATCATTAGAATATTGATGTTTTAATACTCTAAACAGCTGTTCATAACATTTTAACTCCCTATAGATGGAGTTTATCATGAAAATACTACTCATCATTTCATACATTACCTAAATTGAGAGTTAACTGTCCCAACTATACTGTCAATTATATTTGTTATTATTACATGTACAAGTCAGAAAGGCCTCTGTATGGATGAACTATGATAAAGTATGACACAATAATTATATTTAATAATTTTCTCAAGCTAGGCCTACTGTGCAACTATTATTGATGTTGTGTTATGTTTTTATCTTTTAAATTTTTTACTCTACACTAATATTAGTTTTTTTTTTAATACTTTTGACTTGGTTCTCACCATATGCAGGAGTGTACTGGAAATCTTTGCTTTCACTATACTGACTATCTTTTAATCTGTAAAGCTGCAGTTTCACTCTTACATCTTCTTTAATATTACAGTCCTTGTAGGCTGGAGTCCGGAACACAATTGCAACCTTTAAGGTATGTTTATCAGTATTATACTACATGTTAAAACAAATAAGCATGTACATACATACATAAACATGTAACTTATTTGAAAATAAATTCCTACTAATAATTTTAGGTTTGGACTCTTTAAAAAAAATATGCTACTTTATAAAATAATATTTGAGATTTTCAGCATTAAAGAAAAAGCCAAAGTGTCATCATATAAAGATTAAGTAAATAAATATCAATAAAAGTGCAGTACTTGCACTAAATTTTTGCACCACAGATTGTTTGTTGGTTTTTGAAATATGCTTTCCAATCAAATGGATAATTAGCAATTGAATGCATTCATAATGCACAATTTATTAATATTTTATTTTCAACCACAAGTATAATTATCCTTAATGGTTACAGAGTCAAAGGTGAAAATAATAATGAATGAGATAGACTATATTTTAAAATAATTTCAACTGAGTAATCAAGTGTTTTAAAATATCAACACAATAGAACAATTCCATTCTGTGTAACACATTTATTTATCATTATATTAGGAAATTACAATAATTTTATTAAAACATATGAAATACACGAGACGTTTTCACAAAACATGCAGCTAAGTCAAGTTTAGTTCTAAATTACTGTAAGTCTTAAATTACATTACTTTACCTGATGATGAACATCATTTTCTGAAAAATTTCCATAGTCTTCCCACATAAGTCTACCATCAGAATCTTCTTCATAAAATCTGATCTTAATGTCCTCTAGATAACAAAAGCACTATTCATTATTATTGACAATTTATTGGGATCCTCACACAATCTTTAATGTCCTAAGAATAGTAATGAAAAATATTGAACTGATGACAGATGTTAAATGAAAATGTATTCCAGCTATGGAATAGATTTGTTTATTAAAAAACAAAATTAATTCAAATACACTTTCCAGGACATTTGTTCTTTTATTACTTTTAACTATACATATGTTTATGCTACATACATGTACTAAAGGTTATGACTATTTCAAAACCAATTAAAATGATCAAAAGTTTCTCAAACATGATAAGGTTTTTAAACTAGTTGAAGAATGTCAAACAAGTTATTAGATAGTGAGAGAGAGACAGCAACTGCACATATTAATTAACTACTGGTTTCTTACACAGGTAAATAATATCCTTGTATCAAAGTTGATTGTTCTATCAGAAATGGACGATAACTTCTGAAATTGTGTACAGCTATTATTCAGAAAACAAAGATAAGTTATAATTTTAATAAAACAAAAACACTTTAAAAATCAGGCCCTGACATTTTAAAAATGCACAAGAGCTATCAAAAAGCCCCACCAAACAGTAAATAGGTCTGTTAGTGGGCTGATACCTTATCTCTATTCTTTGTTTACAAAATTAGACAGTAAGAGTTAATTTGTATTGACTGAATTGTACTGTTTTTCTATTAATGAATCTAAGGTTATATTTCAAGAGCAAAGTAAGGGTAAGAGGTAAATGTAAAGCCTGGTATATTAATCTGATAAATAAAAAAAAATAATTAATAATCAATAAAATTTTTACATCCAGTAAAACTGTAAAAATTATGATGTTATAATATTCTTAGTCTGGCACATATCATCTTGACTAGAATCATATGATAATTATTCTTTTTGTAATTTACAGACAAGAGTAACATTGATGGTATTTAAATATTTTACTGGGAAATAAAACATTGATTACACTGTTTGTTCAAAAATTAAGTCACTAACTTGCATAAACACACATCTCATAAAAAAATTGAGTTAATCTGAATTAAATCTACCTTGGATAGTCATGTGCATGTACAAAGTCCCTTTGTCCAGTTTGTGTTTAACTGTTAGTTAATGAAGCATATTCAATCATTATCCTCACACACTATGTACATGAGAATCAGTTTCATGACAGGGTCAACATTGAATCATTTCTGTGCAATCAGTTCTTGAAAAATAATTTCCTTTGTTTCAGCTTCATCACTTGACCTACTAGACACGGTAAAATCAGAATTATCCTCATCATGATCTTTGTAATCACTTGAACCTTCATCACCAACAAAATCAATTTCATTGTATATGTCTGACTTTCATTCCTTGGCTGCACATTCTACAAACATGTTAGAAGGACTTGTAACAAATTTCATTTTTGCCATAAACGTCTCCAAAGCTGCTTCTAATATTTGTTTCTTTTCCTGATGTGTTCATACAAAATCATTTGTTTTAAACTAAACCTTTGGTCAGTGAGCATGTGTGTAAGGTGATTAAACCTTGCCTCAAGACACTATTACTGAGCCTTATGCAGAGCACTATTTCCACCAGCATACAAACATTCTTAAATTCCTTTCTTCTGTATAGAAGCACACACACTCCCAGAAATCCTTAGTTTCAACTCCACTCACGTAGTACTTAACCATTCTCTTGAATTCCTTCCATTCTGAACTTATCTTAGTTTCATGAAAATTATTCATTCTTAGTGTCTCATAAAAATCTCAGCACATAAACATAAACACTCAATTTCCCTGGTGGTAATATCCCAGTTTACTGGATCTATCCAAAACATACTTTGATAAAGTTCACTCTCAAATAAGGAAAATCTTGATTCAAGACAAGTCTGTACACTTGGAATGACTGTAGTTGTCAGTTATTCTACAGTTTTCTCAGCACAGTCCACATTGTTCATTAGACTGTAGTTAACACTGACAGTAATGTATTTTCCATTTTCTTTTCTGGTGCCCTACTTTAAGCAAAGTGCTCTTAAAATACTAGGAACCTGATTTCATTTCCAGCTCAAGTTAAAACTTTTTCAAAAGATTTTCACAATGTGTACTTGAAGTTTCTTCCATGAGTTCCTTGAAGATATCCTTTTGCTTTTTCTACTGTAGGCAGTATCTGATAGCATAAAATGTTTTTTTTGTTTTCAAAATGCATAGACAGAATAAAACATGCATCTTTGTAGTGGTAACATTTTGACAAAAAAGTAGTCTTTCTTTATTAAGAGTCCATGAAATCTAGTCAATACTCGCTCCTTGTAATTGGCTAGGGAATTCTCTAATGCTTGATTTACTCTATGTTATATGTGTGCAACAAATCGTATACCACTCACTTTGGTGAAATTAAAATGCTGCACACCAAACACAGTGACAGTTACCTCAAAGTGCTTTTGAACTTTCCAGATTGTTTGCAAAGATCTCAGAATGCCATCAACCATAAGCCAATAATAAGAGGAATAGGGATTTTAAGGAAAGGTGATACAGGGAACACAAAGATAAAGGTTCAAGCAGAGGACAAGTGAGAAAGTGAAGGACAACTCTGAGATTCCAATCCAAGAGAGTGACAGAACAGGAAGGATGGAAAAGGGAAAAAAGAATGAAATAACAAAGACAATACAGGAGATTGGAAGACAGTGGCAAACTCAGTAAATCTTAGCATGCAAGATAATGCAGCTCAATTGATGAGTCAAGTGAAAAATGCAGTCAACTGCAGTAGGGAAGGTTGTGAAGATTGATATCCTGAAAGGAGCAACCAGCAGTGGAAACTATACCATTTATGCTGATAAACCACCCAGATGAATCAGATATTGTGTGGGAGAAAAGACTTCTCCACCTTGATGAGCCAGCTTACTATGGCAGCCTCTCAAAGAAGAAACTGAGTCTGAACAGCAGATTCAACTGGAGAGGAAGCCAAAAGTAGCCAGTTGTCTATGTAATGGTGGGTACAGAAGCCTCTGGTGTGAAGCAGTTGGGCGAATGATTTGACTACTGGGCAGAAGACAGGAGCTGAGGCCAGGCCAAATGGTAGAGCCAGAAACTGATAAACACACCCCTAATAAACAAAATGGAGGAAATGCCAGAATACTTGGGAGATGGGATTGTGTAGATAGGCATCCAACATGTCAACCTTCGTCATCCACAACCCGAGAGTGAAAACCCGCCAAAAGGTTAAGTAAGACTTCATCATGAATTTTGTATGACCAGGAAACAGTTCAGGGAAGATAAATATATAATTGGTCACCAATCTTCCATCTTTTTGGGTACAATGAACAGATGGGAATAAAACCCTGGCTGAGAAGGTTACACAAGTTTTATAGCCTCTTTCCAAAGTAAGTTTCAAACCACCTCTTGTAGATGCTGGCAAGAAACAGGATCCCTTGGTGGGGGAAGGCAATGTGATAAGGAGACATTGGGGGAGGTGAATGAAAGTGAAGGGCCAGATCATCTAAAAAATCCTGTAGAACCCATGGATCCATTGTAAATGGTGTTCACATATGGTGAAAATGGAAAAGTCTGGCACACACCCTGGAGCTGAGTAACTGATGCTGTAATCCTCTAAAATGCCCATGAGCCACAACTAAACTGTAAAGAGATGAAGAATGAGAAGCTGGGACTGGCAAAGGGTTGGACAGAGAGGTAACAAGATACGGAAACAGTAGGAGGTGGTTGGGATAAATGGGAAGCTAACAAGGATAATAAATTATGCAAATGAGCAAACTCAATTTGGACTTCCAACGAGTCAGGAAGACCCCCAAACACCTCTTCACATAAAAAAAAGTGCCATGCACATGGCATGCATGGAAGTAGCAGGTAAATATATTCAAGAAAGAATGGTATCCTAATCCAGAAGGTCCCAACAGTATATCAGCCATGTCTAAAGAGCCAGAACCAAAGATTAAAGTCATGTCGTTGTAGTGAACAGAAGACTGTGAGTGAATTACCTGAGCCAGCAAGTGCATAGTCGATAATGCATGCAGAATTGTGGACAACATCAGCCTGATACATCAATGCATTAGGTTTGAACCCTCAATGGAATGAGGGATTTCAAATGTTGAAAATCAAGATCAGGAAAGGAAAATCTATGAAATGCATAAGCAGATGTACAAGGAATACTATCTCTCACCTGAAGTTGATCTCTTAAACGCTGGGCATGAACCCCAACATCAGGTGAGGGAGGGAAAACTAAATATTGGCCCCTAGATTCTTCACCAAGGATGGCAGGTTGAAGATAATAGGAAACAGGAGATAAGGATAAGACAGAACAAACCTGATCAATTAATTCCACAAAAGGTGAAGGACATCTGGGTAAATCCCATGAATGGGAAGCATAGTCGAGGTGGGGGTAGACTGTCCAAATTCTTTCTTTCCCGTCAGACACTCTAGGGGCAGGCATGACAGGATATTCCTCGTATAGTGGTGAAAGTTTTAAGAACATGGACATTTCTCATCAAACAACTGCTGTCATGTCCTCAGCCGATAATTGAGTACTCAACACGGCAGTGGTGGTCAGTAAACCCACAATAGTAGTAATAGCTGTGGTAATCGTAACTACTCGAAACTGCGAATGCATACCAACAATTCCAATCATGAAGAAAAAAAAAGAAAGAAAATTTGGAATAGGCAAGCTT